AAATAAGCCATCAGCTCACCATGTTTAAGTTTAGTTTGGAAAAACATCAGATTCTATATTTAGATTCAACACTGAAATCCATTTGCTGCCAGCTTACCTTCGGCAGCAGCCAATGAACCCATAATGTCATCGATTCCCTTTTCCATTCCCTTAAGCCCACACATGTAGACGTAAGTGTTATCTTTCTTCAACATTTCCCACAGTTCGTTGGCATATTGTGCCATACGGGTTTGAATGTACATCTCTCTCCGTTCTCATTTGTCTGCTCTCTGCTGACAGCAAAATCTAGTCTGAAGTTGTCTGGAGCCTTCTCCTTCATCTTCTCAAATTCCTGTGAGCATTTAGCAGTGAATTGGTTAGAAATGTTGGTCTAGAAGAGTAATCATTTGAAAAACACTTTTTACTGCCAAAATTTTAAGCTAGATGATGTAGATTTAACTCACCTCTTTGTAGAGCAGAGAACTGCTAGTGGGTACACCCAAGAAGAGCCAAGCCAAGCCGTTAAACTATAATCAGAAAATTTAAGGAAGTCATCAACTAGCACATCGAGCATATATCAGTGAGAGTACTAAGAAAAAACCAATCTGATTTTGAAATTGCAATAGATTTATCGAATACACACAACTTGTAAATTTTACTATTTTGAGTGTAGGATCTCCACTAGAAATACGTCCATGGAAGAAAGTTGGAAAGAATAATTTTAAAAAAAATTTCCAAGATAAGCAAAGAAGAAATCATCTGATTGTCAGCCCTGCATGTTTCCCATGTCTAGCAACAGTTTCTAGAAGACAGTAACACAAGCATATTCAACTTACCTTGTAATCATCGTGCTTTTCGAAGAACATCTTCCACAAGAATGAACGGAAAGGAGCAATTCCAGTTCCAGTTCCAAGCTACAACAATGGAGTCAATGTTCATTAGGCTTGAGTAAGGGGAAAACAATGATAGACAGTAGCACATACACATGGAAGACAACGTGACAAGCTCAGGAATAGGACATACCATGATTTGTGGCATTAGGGTCTTTGGGCATCAACATCTCCTTTCCAACCGGCCTGTTAACTTCACTTCAGCACCAGGCTTCAAGTCACCTGCATAGAGTATAAGAATTTTGAACTGTGAGTTACAAGGTCAATGGTATATGGTCTCAGAAATATCAGCAGAAGCTAACACTTGTAATCATATAAAATAGGCATGCAGAGTAATTCAGTAAGACCACCTCAGCCTCAGTCATCCCACTCCCATCAAAGTCACCATGTATGGATACATCCCTTTTAAAGTCACTCATTCCCATTGATTTCATTTGTAAAACTCATCCTATAGCTCATGGAAAGGCGCCACGCCGCCACATGGCCCACATATACACCACACACACACACTGTATGCATGATTTACTCATTGCTTGAAACTTTCAGTCCAGGACCTCAACTTATAAGAAATGTAGGATTCCTTCGAGCAATGACTATACCACTAGATTGTACTACATAAGTGATAAAACAAATTCGGAAAGTATGAGGATTTGGCATCCTTACACAAGAAGTTCGAGCAGACTCCCTTGACAGTTTCTCCAGCATCATTGGTGTAGATAAGTCGTTTTACACACAACGAAACCTAAAAGCACAGAGAAACAAAAATTTACCCCGCGGGAAAGATAGATATATAATGTCAAACAAGACTGACAAACAAATAGTGATAATAGACTATTAGGAAGTTGAAATTATTATTATGGTATGATATGCTTCTATTGATCCTGAATTCCTGACAGAAACCAAAGCATCCTTTACTCTTTTAGCTCTAACACATTCTCACCCTTACTATTCATATAATTGTACTTTCAAATAAAAAAACATTCAGATAATGCAACCACGCAACTCCTTAGAAAATTTGAAAAATACAGACAGCACAAAACAATATAATCTAATAGGGTTAGATCCTTACAGTTTTAGCATCACCAAAGTCACCAAGAGCACTGCTGGCAATCGAGTACAACCTCAACTTATGGGGCTTTCCATTCTTGTCTTCACCATCTGGAATGACCCCAACAGATTGCCCTTCTCTATAAGGGATCTCTCCTACAAATACATGCAACCAAATTCAAAAATTTGAGTTGAAAAAAATACCAATATACCAATAGAAGATCAAGATCACATAAAGATTCTGTAAGACCACATGATTGAGTGGCAAATCTTACAAACTCATCCTAATGTTTAACAATAGAATTTCACATACCATTTTTAACATACAACAAGTTCATGTGATATCCACTTGCATGCTTGAAAAAATGTTCATCATTAAGGTTCACTACATTACAAATAGTTCAAAAACACTACCTTATTGTATACTGAGCATATGATTATGAATATATTGAGCATATAACACAAATATGCGCATCATTAAGGTTCACTTACTTCATTACAATACTACATATAAATCATTCAAAAACACTACTCGTACCTTACTCTATATACTATATACTTATATATATATACCATTATATAATTATGAATATACCGCAAATTCTTGCATTAGACGGTCAGACCAAGTATCAATACTATTAAAATAATGTACAAGTGCCTATCATGTGATCAAAATGTTAGTGGTAAAAAAGTATTAGAAAATTACCATCATAAACATGTTCTTAACATACAACAAGCTAATATATCGCAAATTCTTGTATCAGACATTCAGACGGTCAGACCAAGTATTGGTTACACAAAATCCAATAAATATTAATATATCGTACTCGAAAACGTCTATCATATGATCAAAATGTTGACGGTAAAAGTAATATAGAAAATTACCCTCATGGGAAAAAACCATATGCCAGGTCTCTCCAGGTGCATCATCCCCAGTAATTTTAGTGTTAAGAAGACATCTTCCAATGTAAGGGTTCTTAGGCTTGTACTTGTTCACTACAATACCTTCCTCCATTTTCTTTGAATGCTTCTCAACCTTAGCAGGAGGTGGTGCCTCCACGTCAGATGTGATCTGGGCCCTAATGGGTCCCACTTTCCCTGTTGCAGATACATTTCTGTAATACAGAGGAACCTGCAACACCCATATAAATCATCAAAACAAACATTATAAAATTGCAAAAATTCACACAACCCAGTAAAAAAAAAATGAGAAATTTGAAATACCCAGATAGTAAAAAGTGAAAATTTACCTTTTTGTAGCTGATTTTGTCAGGGGAAATGATGGAGGAAGTTCTGGAGGAGAGAGAGGATGATTTGGTGGTGGAAGGGAAAGATACGGCGGCGGTGACGGCGGCAGCCATGGCGGAGTAAAATGGGAATTGGAGGAAGAAGAAGAAGAAATGAAAGGAAAATGAGAAAATTTGAGTAGTTTTATTAGTAGTGAAGTGGGTGATGGAGGAGTGGATTATGTATTGGGTGGAGGAAATTGAATGAGCAAATGGGAGTGGTAGTTATGAAGATAAGTTTACGGAAAAATCTTGCTATGCCTTTTTTTTATTTTCATGTGTTTTATAGTGTAGTGTTTTCATTCATGGGACCCTTTTTGGGTGTAAATGTTTTTTCTGTGGCTAATTGATCATTGTTGCTCTCTTTTTGTTTTTTGATTTTTTTGTCTATACAATTGGATGTTCAAGATTATTATTTGACGGGATATTCAAGATTTTTTATTGTAAAAGTTAAAAACAAAAAAAAAATTTACATGATCGTTTGTCAATGTGAGTTAAGGCTAGTTTTCTTTGTGGTGACATTTGACCGAATGCTTGACACAACAAATTTCATATGAGGTAACCTCCATAGTCTGTATGTTGCATTAGGCAAGCCACCACGAGCTACTTTGAGCTGACATGGTTATAAAAGATATCAGCAATGTGTTGTGTGGGGCGACATCAAGAGTGCTCTAGTTGAGTACTTAGTGTAGCATAGGTGGTGCACTAACCTTTGGGAGTAGGCGAGCGAGCTAGGTGGGGAAGTGCCTCTCAACAGGATTGAGGGGTATGTTTGTGTTAGACTGTCAACTATATGGAGGAACCTAATTCAAGTGGACATGTTAAAGTGATTAGGAAGAGACGAAGTGTAGAAACATGGGAGGCAAGCAGGCAGCAACAAGCAATGGTGTTGAGAGGGAGTCTTGCTATGATGCTAAGAAAGAGGATGCGTTGTGTAAACATGTGACTCCATAGGTAGGCTAGTGCGTTAGTGTTATGATGGGAAGTGATGTGGAGCTAACTTTACAACGCCACGACAAGGGCGATCGTGGCTTAGGTGGGGGAGTTTGTCACGTGGTGACAATTTCCCTGCTCCGGCATAACAAGTCTCATATGGGGCAACCTTACCCATGAGTCTATATAAAGCATGTGTCTTTGTCCAGGTTAATATTGTTATGTATTGTTATCTTTATAATGCTTGTTGCGCATATGAGGAAGGTTGGCATGGATCAAGTCTAGGGATTCAAGTGCCGTGCGAGTGATTTGCGCTCGTCCTGTGAATCCATGATATGGTGTTATATGTTTAGACTCGACCCAAAATTGTATGGTGTAATCGGAAGTACATTGTATGATATATCGACAACTAACTATGATCAAATACACACATTTTCTCGTTTACATCTATCATCAAACATCTTAACTTGAGTCTCTTCTATCAAGTCCACACATGTAGCATTATGGTGTTAAGTCATTTGCCCTTTCCTTAACGTTTTAGTCTCTCTACCCAACCCAGATAGATAAATTGGATTAACAAAATTCAAATTCAGAACATTTTGGTGTTTAGAGAGCCACAAGGACAAATGATGAGAATTGATTTCAAATTTTCCAAGATCTCCTGAAATTCAAATACAGAGTAAGACAGATAGAAAGAGACGAAGCGAGTAAAGAGCCGAGGATTGGGCCTCTAAGCCTTCGAATATGCACCATCTCACAAATCCAAACACGGTATTTGGATTTGAGTGAGTCAAAAGCTATAAAAGCCCAATCCCCTCATTTTATTATTCAGTCCATTATTCTCTGATCCACTCTCTTTAAAACTCCTCATCTCTAAATTGGCGTCAAAGCGACGCCGGTTCAGTGGCGCCAACTATGACGGCGAAATGCTGGAAAATTCCCGCAAATTCTTGGCCAGGTAACCTTCTCATCTATAATTGAAGTTTAAATTATGCCATACTTCTCGTTAATTGCTTGAGTTATGATTTCTTTTTACAGTAAATTAGTATTAATTAATGTATAATTACAAATCGACGAATTCGCTGAAATTTAATTTTATGTTCAACTATGTTATCTTAGGTTTGAATATTGTTGCACCAATGATGCTCAAAGGTTACGGAGTATTTTATTTAGGGTTTTGGTTCAATTATGTGTAGTAGTATGGAGTAGAGAGTAAATTGTAGTAGTTAATCGTGGATGTCTTTGATAGTTTGATTATATGTAAAATGTAATCGGTTCTTTCTGGTTATTTTAGAAGAAAATTTGGGTACCTGAAGGTAATTTTGATGGTCGGTTATTAATTGCGGTAATGGGAATGAATTTAAGGGGAGAAAGGGAGATAACAAGGCCATTGTTGTATCTAGCGTTCTGTGTGCTGTACTTAGCTTGAATTTTGTACTCCGAGAAGGGTCCATTGTTGTACTCCGAGAAAGGGAGAATGATTTTTGTACTCCGAGAAGGGAAGGGAGATAGCAAGGCCATTGTTGTAATGGGAAGGAAAGGGAGTAGTATTTTTTCCGAGAAGGGTCCTTAATAATTCTTTTTCAGATAATGATGTACACAACCCATATATAAGGAGTTTAAATGGAAATATTAAGTATAATAAAGCATTAACATAACTGATTGACTTGTGATTATGTCATGCATTTAATGTAGTCTAAATGGGTTTAATACAGGATTGCATGATTAAATCGTACATTGATCGGTATAAATAATGTTGTTGTTGTTTTATGCTTGGTTGATTGTGCTTCCGGGTATACTTTCAGTATTGCTGACTCTTAAATCATTTTACACTATACCTCCTTCCCTTTTTTAAGCTTTTCATTTTGTTATCCCTACACTACTAAGATACTTGTGATCAGGCGAAGAAGTTTTGCACACAAAGGAAGAGTTAGGTTGAATTCACATATTTTGACCATCTACAATTTGCAAATATAGCTATGGTGGGCATCTAGGTGCACTGAACTGCAATCAACTTTCTTTTTGTTTCATCTAGGCATAGTTCGTCATAGGATCATGAATCCGGTATAAATAGGTATCTTCTCTAAGAGAGAAACAGAGAATTTCATGTGATTTGGGTTCCTTATCATGCAATACGTAAAAATGGCATATCATGATATCAAGCAATTTAATATGCCTATAGGCTATACCTAGATGAGTCGTATCAGAAATTTTGGCTCTAGACGTCACCGTCACCTGTCTTGCCTTTTTTGTGTGTTAGTTGTTTCGATGATTAAGTTGAAGCTTGAACTTGCAGTTTTTATTAGGGTGTGTGGGGTTTAATATGTGTTAAAGAAACCTCTCGAGTTGAAGCTGCCAATACAATTTCAATTGTTAATCCTATGTGTGAAGGAGCTGAACAAAATGACTAGGCAGAATGCAAAGAACAAGTGTGCTTTAAAAAGTGAACTCATCTTCCATCTTATATTACTAACCCCATATGCAGTTTGCGTTGTCAAATATAGAAAACTCTTCAATCTTCACTGGGAAATATACAATCTCTGATGTTGGAAAGTTGTACCCTTTATCTGCAACTTAGGCCTTTAATGTGGATATTGTCTAAACCTTGCCTAATATTTGATGTATCAACCTTTAATAACTGTAAATTCAGAAAGCAATTGTTTCTTTTCGTTAGCTGTTAAGTGTGCCCTTCCTTGGGATTGGAAAGTTTCCAGCAGATAAGTTGAAGACAGTTCCACCAAGATCTGAATTTGGGCTATTGGATTCAGTCGATTCACAGTCCAATGTCTTCACCGATAGATTCCGTACATGACACAGTGTAATAGAGGCGATGAGTGATATAATAAGGTGGCCCTGATGGTTTAGAATTCAGACTTGATAGCAGAGAAAAGGAATGATTGGTATTTAATAGAAAGTTTCATCGCCATCTCTCTTTATCAAAATGTTAATTTTTCTGACAAATTATGGGCTTATTTTTGAAATTATATGTACATTGCTTTTTAATTATATGGGAGATAGTCATCACTCGTCAAAATCAGATTTTCTTTTAATATGTGCATTGATCGTGTAGAGTTTTTTACTTTTTTTTTTTTCTCCAACAGAATCTTTGGGATAAGATATACACAAAAGCATGGTATACAGAATCAAAAGAGTACGGTTTTCGTTCTGAGTTGATTTGCTCAACTGCTTATAAGGTGGGTTGCTCATATTATGTGATGAGTGAGGTGTTTATCTAGAATTCCAGATGGCTTTCAATCTTTTTGTTTAGTTAGCTTTTACCTTTCTTAATTCCTAGCTTTTAATTTTGAGAAAATAGTCCCCCATTGATCCTTCTTACTTGAACTCTTTATGACGTCAAGTACCCATGCCAGATGTTTAGCACTCCCACATGAGTATAGAAGCTTTGCGCTTCATTTTGGACCAAAGTCCTGGATTTTTTTTATTTTTATAAATTAGTAGTCTGACACTTGTACACAACTTATGTCCAACACAAGTACATGGTTCTGAGTAACATAGTGTCTGATGGATTGAATGTATCTTGTAAATATTTAGTGTTAAAAATCCATGCACAACTTTATTAGTTTCAAGCCTTCAACTATGGTTTATCGTTTTTTTTTTTTTTTTTTAGTTGCAATACTAAAAAATGCATCTCATCTTTTGTGTGACACTAAACAATTATGACTTCCAAACTTGGTCTAAGAAATATAATTTAGTCATAAAATTGGTAAATGATCTGAGGCTCTGAGCTATTGGTATGATTTTGGAATCTGAAGCCATGGGATCTCTTATTCTTTGTCTGGGCATGAGGTTAAAAAGTATTTTTACTTTTGTTCCACTCCTACTTCTAGGGACACTTCTATATTATAAGGTGGGTATGTTGAATGTGATTTTTATTTTTATTTTTTATATTTTATTTTTAACTTTACAGATGAATTGTGCCAATGTGCCCTGGACAACCATCACCAACTATGCCCCTGGTTTACAATATTAGTTTGGTTCCTGATTCTTGGTGACCTTGGTGTGAAATCCTTGTGAGTTGGTCTATCCAACACCTTCTTTGTTTTTGAGGTCTGTAGCCAAATCAATTTCCAGAGAGTTAGCAAACTATTAAAAAAATATATGGTTGAGTTCAATATTTTCAGGTGATGACTGTGTTTCTGTAGATTTCATTCCTCATCAGGTCATACTGTTAGGCTGTTTAATATCTGTTCCTCAAAGTACTCTTTTTTTTTTTTGTTAGCCTTGTACTAGTATTACCACTGACAAGTGTGGTAATGGGGGAGGTTATACATGCAATGGAAGAAGTGGGCTTTAGACTGCAGAGCTAGCTACTATGTTGAGCTAATGTAATGCATCAAGTTGTGTCTAGCTATAGCTGTATTTTTCTAGGATGAATATTTGGATCAGAGTGTTTATAGGGTTGAGGTGCTATTCTGATAATGTTTGAAGTTGCGGCTCTGCATAAGTGTTCAGTAACTGGATTAGACTGTGAATTGAACTGCTCTCCAGGCTCAGTTCTAGGTGGATTTTTCCCTTGGCTTATGATGTGTTGCTGCACATGATAGACATTGGGTGCTCTGCAGTGCTTTGCTATTAGCTGGATAATTCACTACTCTGATCGAATATTCACCCTGCCGTCAGTCTTATTTGAAAGAACAAAAAATGGTTACCACTTGGGCAATTTTGTCTATTTTTTATTCAGTATTCTATACCATAAACCATGTCTTTTCCCCTCTTTTGCTAGGTTTCCCCTGAAATAATAGAATAATAATTTATGTTATTCACCTATGCTATAGTATATATGCTCATTTGGATAAGTTTTACAGACTTTACACTCCTGTGCAAGAGGGGAAATGGGATTTTTCTCAGCAAGACGATTATAGATGAAACCTGGTCCAACTGCAACCCATAAGGCCATAGGCTCCCATGGTAGGTTTGACCTGTAGTTTCCCCAGTCTGTTCCTTTTCTGGCATGTACTCTCCTGCCAAGACATGTTAGGCATTATATACTATTTTAAACTCTTTGGTATTTAATACTTCCTTCGTTTTTTTTTAGTTGACACCATTTGACTTTTACACTATTCACAAACTACATTTTGACTAGCTTTTGTGATTTATAGCTACGATAAAACATAGTCAAGTGGGATCTTGTTTGAATCGTCTCAATGTATATTTTATTAATATCCACTTTTTATAATTTTACAATATCGAGAATTAGAAATATTAGTCGTTAAAATAGTGCGTTGGCAAGCATATAAAAGAAATATTTCAACTAAATAAAAACGGAGGTAGTAGTAAATAACACTATCATGTCACACCTAGCAAGACCAAAGCTCCTAACTTACTCTATTTTTTAAAATCAAAGTCCTAAACTTTCGGAGCAATTTACAAGGGCCATAGTATAAAGAAATGAAACAAAACTAAACAATGATTGAAAAACCTGTCCCGTTGTTTTTTTTATTCTTACAAAAAGCAGTTTACATACAAGATGCATTGGGTTTTGTTTACTCTACAAGTTACTTAACCTGTCTATTATGACCCGATGATGGTCTATTATAGTTTTATTATGCACGTTTTTGTTTTTATAGAGTAAAGAAGAAGGATCTTCATATGATTTTTATTGATTTACAGAAGGCATATGACAAGGTGCCAAGAGAGGTACTTTGGTGGGCAATGTTGAAGAAAGGTATCCCACGAAAGTATGTGGACCTAGTTAAGGATATGTATCGGGTTGTGTCAACAAATGTTAGGACATGTGGAGGGTTGACAAAAGATTTCCCTGTTACAATCGGATTGCATCAAGGGTCTGCATTAAGCCCTTTTCTTTTTGCAACGGTTCTAGATGAAGTAACTAGACCAATTCAAGATGAGGTTCCATGGTGTTTGTTGTTCGCAGATGATATCGTTTTGGTGGATGAAACTAAGGATGGGGTTAATGCCAAGATGGAGCAATGGAGGCAAAGGTTGGAATCCAGAGGGTTTAAGCTAAGTCGGAGTAAGACTGAATATTTGGTATGTCATTTTGGCAGTCAGAGGGGGACAAGCAATGAAGTGGTGAGTTTGGATGGAAAGGATTTGACCATGAGTGAATGTTTTAAGTATCTTGGGTCGATCATCGAGAAGAATGGTGACATTGATTAAGACGTGGCTCACAGGTTTAAGTCGGGGTGGCTTAAACGGAGAGCGGCCACGGGAGTGTTATGTGATCGAAGCATTCCCTTACAGTTGAAGGGAAAATTCTACGGGACCAGTGTTGCTCTATGGTGCAGAATGTTGGGTTTCTAAGAAGGAACACATTATAAAGATGGAGGTTATGGAAATGCGCATGTTAAGGTGGATGTGTGGGAACACTCTAAGAGATAGAATCAGAAATGAGGTTATTCACAAGAAAGTAGGTGCGGCGGACATTGCACATAAACTAAGGGAAAATCGCCTGCGTTGGTTTGGGCATGTAAGACGGAGACCCGAAGGTGCACCGGTGCGAAGAGTGGAAGAGTGGGACCATGGAGGGGTTAAACGAGGGAGAGGGAGACCAAAAATGACTTGGTTGGAAGGAGTTAGGAAAGATATGAAGTGTATGGATTTGCATGAGGATGAAGCATTGGATCGTAAGGGATGGAGGAGGAAGATTTATGTCGATGACTACATGGAATAATCAAATTTGGTTCATGTTAGCCGACCCCACTTATGGGATTAAGGCTTTGATTGATTGATTAATTGATATGCACGTTTTTGGCTTGGTTTTGGGTTAGTTGTGGTTGTAGTCAAATTGTTTTTTTTTTTGTACACGAATGCCCTTTTGGGACATAGGCATTATTTAGTGTCAAGACATCGTCCAAAGCTAAGGCAGCAAGGTCTATGCCAATAGAGGCATCTTGCACCATCATGCTGGGCCAAGTCCTGTGCTGACATACAAGGATGAGTTCCTTGAAGGAAAAGAGATTCAAGTATCTCCGCATCTATTCTAGCACGTGTATCGCTAGGGTAGCAATCAATTATTTGGGACTATGGATGGCAATAATCTCACTTGTGAAATTCTCTTGTAGGTTAGTGGAAAATCTTGATGAAATCCAAAGGGAAGCTTCTTGGGGTTGCCCAAGGCCCTCCATGCCTATTCATAACCACAAAGGAAAGGATACCTTAGCGGCTTAGCCACAACTTTTATTGGAAAACCCTGTATAGCTCACAGATTATATCCTTGAGACTTCTTTTAAACGCAATTGTCAAGCATTCAATGGTTATAGGTAGTTCTTTCCCTCACGTCTCTTCTAAATCTTTGGACTGGTTAGATTAGACATTAGGATGTTTTCTGGGGTGTATTGGAATTTGAAGCTGCATGTTTTTGATTTGATGCTTAAGGGAAAGTTGATTTTCAAAGTGTGTGATATGATTTCCAATCTCTTTTCACCAACGGTGAGGTAGGTGTGGAAATTTGATAAAATAATGCAAGCTCTCCGTTTTAATAGAGGATGAAATTTGTTCCATAGGAATAAAGGAGTTCTGACTTCAAGAAATATAATTAGCAGAGCAAAACACAATTGTTTTGACCCCAAGATGCAAAATTTAGAATACATAATAAAGGTAGGGGATGCCGGGATGACCGAGGAAATAATTGAGGAGTAGATTTAACCAACCTTTAAGTGTGGACAAGAGGCTGTTTTTGAATCACTCCTACCTTTGCTTCTGGACTCCCTAAACTAAAAATTGAGAATATTTGCTTAGACCTATGAAGGTTCCACTGATAAAATTCTGGATATTGGAATTATATTGCTATATTTATAATACAATAATCGTTAGGAATCTTTTTCCTTGATCTTAACTACATATGTTCTTGTGGTTCATTACCAAAGTGAATTTTATTGATGTTTGATGTACTGCTTTAGAAGGCTGGAATATTTGCAGAAGAAGGTTCCTCCACTGAGATTTGAACTCGGGCTATTGGATTAAGAGTCCAATGATTTAACCACTAGACCATAGCACTTTATATTAGAAGTAAAATCCTGAGGAATATTGTATGATCTGGCTACATCTGGAACAGTGAAGCTGAAGACTATAGCACCTTCAATGATAAGAGGAACTAAGGGTCGGGAATTTTTGTTAGTATATGATGGTGGCTCGTGGCCCCGAAGAGATGATAGGGAGAGAGATATTGGCTGTATGAAAACTAAGTGGTCAGAGTCTACCTCTGTTGCATTCATTGTGTATGCATCACTGTGATACATGATCATATTTGTGGGTCAATTGAAGGTTATTGTGTACTCATTCATTAAGTGATAATGTCAAACGATAATTTGATTCCGAGCTAATTAATTAACATTCTCAAGGCAGTCAGATTCTCTGTGCAGCGAATGGTACACAGTGTTGTGGATATTTCATAGTGTAATTTGATTGTGAGGGGTTGTTTTTATCTTTCAATTTTATATTATTCTTCCTGCACTCTAAATGTTCTGCAGCTAATTTGCCCTGCAGGTTGAGCTTAGTTCTAAGAAGTCCTACCTTGGACACACTCACACAGTGCAATTGCTAGGTGAATTGGCCCCCTTCATCATATAAAGGTATGCACTCACATTATAAAAGGCAAATGAGATGAACTAAAAAAATTGAAAAAAAAAAAAAAAAAAACAGAGGGAGTATATTTGAAGTAAGCCCATTCTCAAATCTAAATTGCTTGGGAAATCTATTGCCTGATGGAGTGATGGATAAAAAATATTGATTTTAACATATATGCTGGACTCCTTGGCATTTTTACTTGCGATTTTTTTTTTGGGACCTATGAATCAACAAATTTTAGGGACTGTTATTACGGAGTAACATATAATTCCTGTATCTTCGTTCTTTTCAATATAAAAATACCTATAAATATAATACAATTATTCTTTAAGTAATTAAGATAAAACTTTGGAACAGAATAATGTTACTAGGATGATTAGTCATATGGACAACGTTACTGATGGGCTAGCAGTCACTACATCTTCCCAAGGCCATTAATCGAAGCTGTATAGGCTTCTGAAAGAGGTAATCTGGTGAAATAGATTTTCCCTTGTTAGGCAACTATCTGAAGGATTCTTTAGCTATATGGAGGAGAAAGATTGGTCTTTAAAGCCCTTTAGATCCGTCACAGTCAGAGCTGGTTCACTGCAGCTTCATGATTTATGATTGTATTTTGATTTTATATGATAAAATCCTAACTTCTTATGGCTCAATTAGTCTAAATGTCAGTGGACTGGTTGCTGTCATTGTGGTGGTCCTTTCATAGCAATATCCATAGAATCATATCATGTAGATAACAAATTTATGGGTTAACGTCTTTGTGATACAATGAACAAGACAGCGGTATCTCCAAATTCTTCAAAGATGTGAGAACTGAGGCTGCGACATATTACTTACATGAATATGCTCGTGAAGGATTTACTGCTGCTTTATTTGTAATTTTCTCCCTGACATGTAGCTAGCATTTGTGTGCTTACATTTGTTGTTTGCCTTGCTCTTATATAGGTTGTAGCTGATAAAGTTGATTATCTGTACTTTCTCCTCATCGAGCTAGTGTCCAGTTTCATTGATATGGTACATACTCCCTCTCCATTGGGGGTAATTGTCACATAATCCAACTCACATAGACAGGTGAATATTTACAAAGCTCACTAAAATACTCTATTAATCTATGTTGTTTCCATATTCTCTCCACCTCTGTAATAGTCTAGAAAGTGTAAAAATTCTTCCCGAACATTTTAAAATAGTATTATGTAGTCAGTACTACATACTGACTTGTTTATGGAAGAACGGGGGACAATATATCATCTGGTACCAAAAAAAATTACCCATCTTTTTATATTACGTTGTTGTTTTCTCATTGTCCAGATTCAATGTGCTGTCTTGGATTACCTGGAGCTTTTAGTGGATTGAAAAAAAAAAAAAAAAAAAAAAAGAGAATGATTGGAAAATATATTTTACTTCCTAAAATAATAAAAACAAAACAAACAAAAAAGAAAAAATGTTTTAACGCACACACCGGAGTTATGGAAGACATGTTTCACGTTTGCAGTACTAGGTCAAACAATAAAACAAATGCCCCTTTTGATTAAATTCTCTTTTTTTTTTTTTTCCCTATTTCATTTTTTATTTTAAACTCTAAATTTATTTATTTATTTTATATAGATGAGCAATTTCCTTAGATGAGCAATTTCCTTAGAAAATGCGCAAAAAATGACCAAATTTCATAATTACGCTTCATTTTATCAATATTTCGGACATACCGTACACATTAGCAACTTAAAGTAGTGCAACTTTTTATTTTTACTTGTTCACAAAATTAGCGGTTTTATTAAGAGTAAGATTGCTTAACTGGATTTTGGTCTGTATGTATAAATTTAATTGCTACTGGTTGAATTAGCAGTTCATTAGCTTAAATTAGCGGGTTTTATTTATATGCACTTTATATATATATAGGAGTTGGATCATGTGAAAACCAACCTTAAGCTAAAACTAAAAAACATGACATCTTAACCGTAGATTGTGATCTACCATTGACCCATCAGATCTTACGGTCGAGATTTTTTCCCCCAATTTTCATGCTACTTTTTCAAATCCAGCTTCAATTACTTTGATTTTCAGCAATTTCTCAGCTCTACGATCTATTATCAGGTGAGTTCTTTGTGTTAACTTCGCTATTTTTTTGCATGATTTGAGGTACTTAGGTTTCTGAAATTTTATTTGCCTGAATTTCATGCGATTCGATTTTGTCATTAAATATGCTATAATTTGTCTGGATCTATGTGATTCAAGTTCCAGAATCTATTATTTAGTTGAAGGTAAGTTGTTCTGCCTCTTTCTCTATTTTTGTTTTTTCAATTGGCTAGGTTAAATTGCCTATTTAATTATTTTACTAGTTGTAAATCGATTTGTTGATTGTTGTTAATCGATTTGTTTTTTAGTTGTTTAACTCTTCTCTTGTTAGTTCTTAGCGACTGAGATCCTTATTCCTTAGTGTGATTTTGAATTTTGCCGATCAAATTAGTGAAGCATGAAAATCTGATTATAACTTATTGTCAATGATAGTTGATAATTTTAGAGGGTTTTTTTCCAGATTTTTTTTTTCCTCATTTTTTATTTATTTTGATCGCTCTGGCAATTGATGAATCTTTGCTCCGTTTTTCTTTTGTTGATTGATGAGGAGTGCGTTTTGTTTTTTTACATTTGAAATGTTTGATACTTTTTATTAGATTGATTTCAATTGTATTTCAAGTGTAGATATTATTGCATTTTTGAGAATTAATGAGTTGAATTTGAGTTTTAAATTTGCTATTTCATTTGGTTATTGTTAGATTTTTGGAAGAAGAAAAAAATATGGTTAGAGCTTGATGAATTAATTGGCCGAGTCAAATGTCACTTTGTTTTCTTCATTGCACCTCAAAAAGCAGTATACCATTTTTTTTAGGGAAAAGCAGTATACCGTGTTTAATCTTGCATAAGTTGGATTTTCTAATTTTAGTAAAAAAAATATGGTCTTGCAGAACATTACTTGCAAGAAATTGTTTCTCAAGAAGGCAATAGTGATTGGTCGAGCATAGGCTATATACTCGTAGCTCGTAAATAGGGGCTCCGAAATGGTTTTGTGTAAAGTATTACGAAGTACTCCATATGATATAGTTGTTTTGTTTTACGTGCTAAAAGCCTATAAGCTCAATTGGTCGCATTGTGTATACATTACACACAAAGATGTAGATTTGAATCTTACATAGGTTTATAGGGTGATCTTTCATTAACATGTACTCCGTACTCCTATTAAGATATATTCACTTTTAATATGATTAAAGTAAATATTTATATTCAATGATCATCTCTATATAAAGGTAGTCACCATTGATATAATTATCTTTTTACCTCCGTTATATATCATATGTAACTTTGGGGTATTGTATGTGAGATATAAAATATTTCAAAGTTGCAAATAATATAAAACAAAGGTAGTATTTTTATTTATATAAAACAAAGGTAGTATTTTTATTTATATAAAACAAAGGTAGTATTTTTATTTAACTTTGGGGTATTGGGGTATTTTTATTAAAGTTGCATTTTATATAGTTACCATTAATATAGTTACTTTACATTTATATATAATAACCTCTATGCAAGTCTAGATTGGAGAAATGATTTCCCAGATGCTTCTACTGTTAATCTACCTATTCTCCTATCTGATCATAGCCCTATTATTACAAGTATAAAAGGGCTTAGTAGACAGAATTAAACATATTTCTTTTTTATGTTGATTTTAATTGGAATGGAGAAAATTTTGTTTTGGATCATATTTATTTTAAAATGCAAGTCTGGGACTGCAGTAGTTTTCGAGTTATTCTTTAGATGATGTTACGGAGTCTTATCTTAGCTCTCGGTTGGTTTGGTTGGCTAGTATATTGGACCGTAATGAGTTGATGACACTGTGTGCACTAGCATGGTCGATATGGTACTGCAGGAACATGGCAAGACACGAGAACTTGCTGCTCAATGCTGTCCAAACAGCAGTGGGTTTTACTAAGCTTGTTGATGATTAGCCTCTATGCTAAGGTGTTTGTAAGCCGATTTCTCTTTGGCTGTAGCATGGATTCAACCTACTATGGGTATCAAATACATAGTTGATTTTTTTTATTTTAAATAAGCAATATATGAAAGTTACATACATTACTATATTGTTAGATTCGTATTGAAAAGTGCTACGTATATATTTTCTAAGAAAATTATGGTCAAATTTATCCTTGCATGTAAGTACATTATTAATCAATTGAATTAAAAGTACGTGATTGGGATTATTCCAATATTGTGGAAACTTGATAGGAAGGTTGTAATATCATGTGAGATTGTGTGATTCTCATTAGTCTAATTCCATATATCATTACATTTTGGAAAAAAACAACTTTATGTAAACCCATAGTACTTCCTATTATGAAGCATCAAACAACAAAGGTAAGATGTTTGAATCAACCATTGTTTTTATATAGGCTAAGACTAAATTTTGGTTGTGAAACCCACACATCCTAGTTTGATAAAGTTCATTAAATTAAGGTTGGTGTTTGTCCACTTGAGAAAAAATATGATAACATTAATAGCGGGTGGGGTTTAAGCAAACGGTCACCATCATTTTATTTTAGGATGGAAATGATAGGGTGTGTATCTTTTCAATCTAATCAAATTTAGCAATTTGTATGTTGTTCATTTTAGTCTAATTCAATTTAACAAAATTAAATCTACTTTGATTCATTTCAATTTGATCATTTTAGCAATTTTTTTTGTTGTTGTTGTTGTTTTTGACAAGCATTTTAACAAAATTAATATTAGTTCATTTCAATAAAATCAATTTACCAAAATAAGTTTATTTCAACTCAATCATTTTAGCAAAATTAAATTATATTAAATATGGGTTGTATACTTGTATGATTCGTATCCACGAGTATTTATACTGAAAGGTCAATTAGTATGACATGATGCTTCTAGAAGACAAAGGAGGAAGGTAATACAGTTGTAGCTGGTTGGTTGAGCTTATCTCACTCACATGGGATTACAGTAATCCCAGTAAATGTATCATCACCTTCATTTTTTACATAATGTTCACCTTGAAAATTCACATGACCCTTTTTTTGGTAAGAACACAATTTTGGGTAAAAAAATTCTGATAATTGTGAAAAGTTTTACTAGCAAAAATGATTAGAGTAGTAAAATGATAGAAAGGTCAAAGGTAACATGCTTTTTTTAGATGATTAAAAATGGTACTGTACAAAAGATGTGCTAACTTTAGCAAAATCCAGGTACATACACTAGCAGTCACTGTTTTGATGGGTTAAGCTTTGTTTGGCTCTTGCTAACTACGGGAAATTACGCAACACTTCCTTTTCTTTAGCCTTTTCTGCATGAATTTCAATAAACTTGTGGCATTTTTTTTTTTTTGTTAATCCTCATGGAACGTCGTCATTTTCGTACTCGTGAGAAGAAGAAATCGGTCCCTGGGGTTTAAGCCAATCTTGGTGGCATTTTCACTGCCAAGAGGTGTTTTGGAGACACAGGGTGGTTTTGAAATAAAAAACACTTGAGATTTCAAGTACTCGTATAGTCGTATGTATATTTCCGTGTGTATGTGTCTGATGGCAATTGGTGACTGTACAATAAACCTCCAAGTTTAAGAAATTCTCTTTGAAAAAGACCTGATCACTCAGATTTTCAATTCTTATTAATCTAACAATAATATACAGTAGTTTTATTAGTATGCCATGTCTTCTGAAATGTAACCACACCAGAGAAAATAAGTCATAAATCAGAAGCCATGTTCATATTGGGCCACATTAAATATATTATTCTACAGTATGAACAAACATCAGACAATAATCACAAATTCACAATATCATATCCCCACCTCCTAATTATTCTGTCAATTTTCAACAAATTTCCTACCTAACATTATACAAGAATAAACCCCAAATGAGAATCTCTTTAACTGAATAAAACAAAAACCATTGCTCAAAATCAAAGGACTTTTGTCATTGTTGATGAACTTTTGCAACTAATTCGTATTTACAATACACATTAAATGATAACAAAATTACAAATTAATGCTATCATCAAAAAAAAATTTGAGGTGAAAATGAAATATTTATGAGAAATCAATTTAGATGGATACACAAACGAATGAGCTATTCACCATTTGAGGGAGTCGGGGTAGGGTGTTTAATAATTACTCTTGATTCGGAAAATACGCGATTTAAATTTTTTACTCTTCACCTTGTGCCTCTTGTTTGGTAGAGTTCCAGCCTGCTCTTAGCTTCTAG